TCTCTCTCTCTCTCTCTCACACACACACACACACACACACGCTTCAGAACGGCGAACCACAGTAAATTACCTGGTGGAAAGACAACAGGAGGATTCTGTGGTGCACCTGGGGGTCAAGTCATGATATGATATTGGTCATCCAGCGAGCTACCTTGGCTATGGCAGGCGCATGCTTGTAGATACCAACCACATCACAGCAATGGGATTGCTCATTCCCCAGCTCTCTGCACAGAGAACAATTGACCCAAAGGACTTCTAGTAGTACAGGGAGAGGACGCTAGCCCTCACCCACTGCCAGAGCTGCTTTCTCATTTCTTGTCATCACTGCGTGCACTCGCTTCTTGTCGTCACTGAGCGCAAGCACCCCTGCTGGAAAGTCGGGAATGGCAAAGTAGACGGTGAGAAATCAGGGGAGGGAAAGACAAAGAAGACGAAATATCAGAAAAAAAATAAATGCACTTCTCTTCTGGCTTTTTAATTGAATTAAAAAGCCCAATCTGCTTTCACTATTTTGATTTTTTCTTTTTTTTTAATCTATGTTGACTATTTCAGTATTTTCATGGTTCTTTTGCAATGACAGTCGTGAGATATTATTGTCAATCATTGGTCCCCGGTCCCTTTTTTTTTCACATCATACCTTTACCATTATCACTACTGTTACCAAATATTAAATATCATTTTTTTCAAAACTACGCTATATTCTTCCCTCAAATTCTCCCATTCTTCTCTCACCTCCCTACCTACCACAAGAGGGGGTAGGGGGTAGGGGGTAGGGGGGTAGGGGGGTTGAGTGGTGGGAAGCCAGAACGAACCCACAGCAGTTCCCTCTGGGCCTCTTAACCCACAGAGTCCCTAGCCGGCCATACGACCTCTACCTTTTCTTTCTCCGTTTTTTTTTCTTTTTTTTTGTCCCTACCTCCTCTACCTATCCTCTCACGCTGTAAAAATCATAATGAATGATACTGTGATCCCCTCCGCGCAACCCCGACCCATCCCCCCCAACCCCCCCCCCCTTCTTTCACACCATACAGTGGAGCCTTGTGTCATTTTGTCGGATTGACAGGGCTGCAATTCTCTTTCCATCAATTTAATCTGACCGCAATTAGAGTACGATACATCTAGACATGGTTGCAATTTCTTTCCGTCAATTTAATCTGGCCAACTGGATATAGATGAGATGACATGGCTTCAATCTCGTTCCGTCAACTCAATCTGGCCGCAATTACTGTCAGATACATCGGGGAAAGTGAAACGGTTTTCACCTTTTAGCAGTAGCAGATGCAGTACCCAGGGTTCGATCCCTAGACCTCACCCCCTACCTATGTACAGTATCGGTGTAGACCCCGAGAGTTGAACCTGTGACCTGTGTATCCGTAGACAGTTGGTAGGTCTGTCGTAGGTCCATAGGCAGCAGGGGTTCAATCTGTAGGTCTATAGAGTAGAAGTCTTAGCAAGTTCCAGAAGTCTAGTTGTAGTCCTTCTAGAAGGTCGGCAAGTGGGCAAGTGGGCAAGTGGTGAGGCAAGTGGTGGACTAAACTGCAGTGCAATCGCAGTACGACGACGGTAGGATAGCAGTGAGTCCACAGACAGTCAGCGGTAAGGTCCAGTCAGTCCCAGTCCGGTCCAGCAAGTACCACGGGGGACTGTGCTCACCATGGGCCGATGGCAAAGGCCAGACCAACGAGTTCCCGAAGTATAAATCAAGAGGCAGCGCCCAGCCATTCATTCATTCCTGCGTGAGCCATGCGGAAGCGCTGCCACAGCGACTTCTGCAAGGACGTCTGCAGTGAGCCCGGAGGACGCAGTGGGCGAGAGAGGAGGAGTTAGCATAGCGATAGGGTAGAGGCAGCCATAGCTGCCATAGCTGTAGTTAGTGTGGAGTGTGTGTGTGTACGTGCGAGTGTCCAGAGTTACGCGTGTGGGATATCCAGGGTGATCCGGTGTGTGTGAACAGTGAGTTGTTTGGGCGCTGAGTCGCCATAGCCAATTGAAAGTGAACTCGTATCTGGA